TCTCATAAAGAATTCTCCTTGGTCTTCATAACTCTACTTTTTGTCTTTCATATATAATATACATCTCTCCCTCCACTTCCATCTCATTTTCTTATTGTGTCTTCTTTTACGTAAGTACAAGTAGGGCTCGCTAATTTGTTGTTGCCTAGTGGGGCGGTCCTCACCTTGTCTTTGTGTCTCCCCATTGTCTTTCATTATATCCTTTAAGGAACAGCCCTATAACCTCTGCTTTTCTTCTTCTTTCTTTCTTTTTTGTTTTGTTTTTGAGATAGGGTTTCACTGTGTCACGCAGGCTGGAGTGGAGTAGTACAATCTCATTTCACTGCAGCTCTGACCTTCAGGGCTCAGGTGATTCTCCCACCTCAACTTGTAGTGAGACTACAGGTGTACACCACCACATCTAGCTAATTTTTTTTGTTTGGTGGAGACTGGGTTTTACCGTGTTGCCCAGGCTGGTCTTGAACTCCTGGGCTCAAGCGTTCTGACCCTCATTGGCCTCCCAAAGTGCTGGGATTACAGGCGTGAGACACCGTGCCTGGGTTCTGCTTTGCTTTTTCTGAAGGGGACATTCTCCCACTGATGTAAGCATGCTACATACCTTCACAATTGTGACTTGTTACCAGCTGGCCTAGGCCAAAATCTATTACATAAAACAACAGCTTGCTGAAAGATTTTATTCAGCTTGATTCCATTTTATTGATAAGAACAGTTTACTATGTCTCTATGGACCCTTTCCAAAGTATTCTTTTTTTTTTGAGATGGAGTCTCATTGTATCACCCAGGCTGGAGTGCAGTGGCGCGATCTTGGCTCACTGCAACCTCCGCTTCCCGGGTTCAAGCAACTGTCCTGCCTCAGCCTCCTGAGTCGCTGGGACTACAGGCATGCACACCACACCCAGCTAATGTTGTTTACATTTTTAGTAGAGCCAGGGGTTCACCACCTTGGCCAGGCTGGTCTCGAACTCCTGACCTCACGTGATCCGCCTGCGTCGGCCTCCCAAAATGTTGGGATTACAGGCGTGAGCCACTGCACCCGGCCACAAAGTATTCTTTAAATTACATAGATACAAACAGAGTGAAATTGTTGAAAAAGCACCATTGGCTTATTTTTAAATCTCTGAATTGAAAATATTGGTTTTAATAGTCAAAATTAAAAATTAATAAAATATTCAACTTACACATATGTTCAGAGATAAATATTTAAGCATTTTAAAGGCTGTTTTCCCCCAAGAACATTTATTCAACCAATCAATACTTATTGGCTACCCACTGTGAGCTGTTTTAATTACTAGGAATATGGCAGGGAACACAGCAAAGCTCCTGCACTTAGGGAGCTTACATTTTAGTGGGAGGAGACAGAGGAGAAGATCAGTAAGCAACATGCACATCAGAAGGTGCTACGTGCCATGGAGAAAAGTGTGACAAAGAAGGGGAATGAGGAGTGCTGGGATGATGGGGGGCGAAGGAGAGGAATGGTTGCAACATTTAGTAGGTCAGGGAAGGTGTACACTAAAGGAACATTTTAGCAAAGACTTGATGGAGGTGAGGAAGCCAGCCATTCAAGTATCTAAGGGATGAGACTTTCAGGTCAAGGGAATAGCAAGAGTGAAATCCCTAATGGGGAGAATGCCCGGCATATTTAAGAAAATGTGATCTATGTGGCTGGAGTAGAGTAAGCAAGAGGTAGAGGGGAGTAAGCAAGAGGTAGATGGGAGTAACCATGAGGAGTAGAGTAAGCATGAGGCAGCAGAATGGCCAGATCACATAGAGCCCTATAAGTCATTGTGAGGACTCGAACTTTTCCCCAAAGTGCCATGAGAAGACAATGGAGGGCTCTGAGCGGAAGAATGAAATTATCTCACTTATGTTTTAGCAGGATCCCTCTTATTGACATGGCTGGAAGTTAGCAGGATCCCTCTTATTGACATGTGGAAAGCAGGCTGGAAGGGGGAAAAGGAGACTAGTTAGGCTATTGCAAGAGAGACCAGGCAAGAAATTATGGTAGCGTGGACCAAGGTGGTAACAGAAATAATTGAATTCTGGGTGTATTGTGAAAGTCTCAGCTGACAGAGTTTGCTGATGGATTGGACATAGAGTGTAGTAGAAACAGAGGAGTCAAGCAGATCCTAATGGTTTTGGACTGAACATTTAGAGGGACAGAGCTGTTGTTTTAAGGAAGAGCACAGGAAGTGCACCATTCTTTAGGGTGGGAAGAAGTCAGCATATGCTGAGTTTGAAATGGAGTTTAGAAAAAGCCTTCTCAAGTTCCTAACAAATGAAAGGACCTCCTAAGAATCAGGAAACTTAAGTTATGTCACAAGGTATATTATTGATGAGCTCTAAGACTCTGAGTAATTACTTTATCTCTATGGATTTCGACTTCTTCCTCTGTTAATCGTTAGACTGAACGCGTTAAAATCCCTTCTAATTCTGTGGTTCTATTGTGCTCTTCAGTAGTTTTCAGAAGACAGCTGATCAAAATGCCTTTTCAGATTACTATGCAACTACATTGTATAAAATGCAATATTTTAGGATGATGACATTTGATGTTTAATATATAATTAATGGTTTATTGTAAACTTGGGTGCTAAAATCGTTCTCTAAAATGTGTGGGGAAAAGTCAATAAAAAGAGAGATCTGGATTGCTTGTGTTTCTACCACCTGTTATTTTAAATAGTGGAGGATGTCATTTTTCCCTAAGGAATTCAATATGCTTTATAGATACTATACTAAAATTACATTTTAGTTTAATTTAAATCTTGTTAGAAGTGACTGGTACATGGTAGGCCCTCAGTGTGTGTTTGTGGAATGAATAGATGAATTAGAAATGAAAATGCTATCTCATTACTTTCACACAAGGTACCTTTCAGAAGATATTCTGTGTGTGATTCACTGCCTTCTTTAAAACTTCTGCCATCTCTTTTATTTACATGGTAGTAGATATAATTACTCTTTTTTTTAAGGAAATGGGGTAGACAATGGCTAATTGATTCACCCAGTCATCACCCATTTGATAAAAGAAGTGAACCAGCCTTATCATAATTCTCAAAACCTGAGAATATGTGCTCAGACCTCATACTACACAGTGCTCTGAAGAGCAGTTCAGCAGCTATGTGTTATGTTGACCTCTGTGTTATGTTGGTGTTCATATCTGAAGCTGTGATACATCTGTAGAGTTCTGAGAAGCAGTCTGGACACACTAAACAGTAAATATTACTGTCTAAAACACAATCTTCCCTGCTAAATGACATACTAGCCAGAGTGCCTTAGATTATCTCTTTGTATCGTTCATTGTTTGCTTCTCTAAAATGGAGGCAAGTCAGCTGTCTCTACTAAACTCTGTCTCTACTAAAAATACAAAAATTAGCCAGGCGTGGTGGCGCGCCTGTAATCCCCGCTACTCGAGAGGCTGAGGCAGGAGAATCGCTTGAACCTGGGAGGCAGAGGTTGCAGTGAGCCAAGATCACGCCACTGCACTCCAGCCTGGGTGACAGAGTGAGACTCCATCTGAAAAAAAAAAAAAAAAAATAGATTCTGTGTCTTCTACCCCAAGTGTTCCACTGTGCTTGTAATCCAGTACTAAGCTAAGTCAGAGTAGTACTGCAAGAAGAGTGAAATTGACACCATACCTCCAGCCCCTTCCCCTAAGCCATTGCCAATCTGATTAAACCTTTTCTTTGCAGGACAGGTCTATCTTAATTTACTTTTTGACTTTTGACTCATGGTCAACAAAATGAAACAAAACCATCCTGAGAATTAAATGGTTGATGCTAGGATACAGCACCAAATTAGTGGAAAAATAAACTTTAGTTCAAAATACTAAAACTAAGTTCAATAGTCATACAATTCACAGTTGCGTTCTTTTCCCCCAGGTCAGACAGCAGAAGTTCCTTGGCTGTTTACATCCTGTTCTTGGATTTCCATTTCATGCAGCTATCTAGTTTTGAATTTCTTGCCAATTGTAGACACTGTCCCTCTTGAGAGCTAAAAAGCAGACAATTTGTTATTTGGTTCAAAGCTGCTGCAGCTTTTCAGAGGGATTTATTGTGCAGATCTTGTCAAAGCAATACTGTTTACCCACCATTTGTATACAGGAGTACAACAGCACAGTGTGGTTGAGACTACAGGGCAAACATTGTGCTAAGTTAGGTAAGCCCAGTGATGTAAATATGGGGTAATTTATAAAGCTTTTAGAAAAACAAGGTTTATTAATCCGGTAGTGTTTGGAGGTGCAGCTTTTAAGTAATTACTATTTTTCACATTGCAGATTTCAAAGAATTTTTGATCAGGATGCAAAGCAAGAGACCATTTTTGAAAACATTGCCAAACCAGTTGCTGGAAGGTAGGATTTCCCATATTTTGTTCAGTGGGCTCGTGGCTTTTCACGTTGTCTTCAGTTCTCAGATAACTGTGGTAGTGTGCTTAAGTATATGAATTATATACTTAGGCTGCAGGACATGTAATGATGATAGCATTAATACCTTCTGTTCCTATAACCATTTGTTTTAGATTTAGATTCTGAGTCTCAAAACAAAACAAAATAACATAGTGAGGTAGACTAGCTATTGTTACTCCTATTTGTAAAGATATATAAACCGAGGATCACAGAAATGAAGTGACACTACTCAGGGTTGCATGGGTAGTGGTGGCAGAGTCCTAGACGATTTTTGGACTGCTAAGTTCAGTGTTCTTTCCTCAGTACAGTACAGTACTTCAAACATACAGTTAGATGGACAAAGGATAAGGTATGGGTGGTACCTGGGAGGCTGCCTAATGATGCTGGCCCTGCTCTACCTCAGTGTCATTTCAAAGCTTGGCCCTTTGCTTTAATATATCTAGATAATTCCAGGCTGCTGACTACTAGAACCAAACTCACATGACAGTACCAAATAAATCAGAGTGTCAATTTATTAATATGTATTGGCAGTCTCCTAGGGACTAAGACACTCAAGCCCTTTGATAAGCACACAGTCGTCTTATAGGGAATCCATTTAGAAAACTACTGCTAATAAGCTTACTTTCTGATCTGAAATCATTTGGATGATGCTAATAACCTAATGATAATCCCAAGATATATTCATCGTTACAGTTAAATAATGAAAATTATACCTGCTAAATGAACCCAGTTTTCAAGTCTACTCATCAGTACACCCTTTTTAGTGGACGTTGCTGGGAACGCAGTGCTACATTTTGTCTCTCAAACTCCTGTTTTATGAATCCTATGCAAACCAAGCCCTTCTCTTTTTAATACAACCTTCCTTCATTAGGTAACCTACAATCAAGTAGGCTTAAACTATTTTAGAATCCAATAACACCTCTTTAGATAAAATTCAAGTCTCCTTGATTAGATGTCAAACATTTCTGAAATTCCCGTCTTGTTAGCAATCATTTGGGTTGTGTCATTTTTCAGATAGCTAGTTTCATGTGTTTTATTTTTAAACTTCCTGACATCATTCAGGAAGGGAACCTTAAGTTTGTTTTTCATGGATGCCTGGGTTTTCCTTCCGCTACAGACTCTCATGTTGAGCCCACTTTCTCCTCCAGCTACTGCCCTTTTCTTCAGCTTTCCTTTACAGAAAATATCTTTGAAAGCCGGGCGCGGTGGCTCACGCCTGTAATTCCAGCACTTTGGGAGGCCGAGGCGGGCGGATCACAAGGTCAGGAGATCGAGACCATGGTGAAACCCCGTCTCTACTAAAAATAGAAAAAATTAGCCGGGCGCAGTGGCGGGCGCCTGTAGTCCCAGCTACTCGGGAGGCTGAGGCAGGAGAATGGCGTGAACCCGGGAGGCGGAGCTTGCAGTGAGCCGAGATTGCGCCACTGCACTCCAGCCTGGGCGACAGAGCGAGACTCCGTCTCAAACAAACAAACAAACAAACAAAAAAAAAAACAAACAAAAAAAAGAAAATATCTTTGAAATGGCCTACTATATTCACTACTTCAGTTCCTCTCCCAAACCCTGTTCTTATCATGCTTTGGCCTCCACTGCCTCACTGAAATTGTTTTTGTCAAAGTCAACTATGAATTCTATTTGCTAAATTTAATAATGATCATTTCCCAGTCCTCATGCTATTTGGTATGTCTGCCATTTTGACACAGTCGATCACTCCGTCCTCCAAATACTTTCTTCACTTGTCACACTCTCCTGGTTCTCCGTTCCTTCTCAGTTAACTTAGGCGGTTTTAATTGTATGCGGTGACCATTTCCTCTTGCTGTTGCCTCTGTCTGGAATGCTCTTCCCTCAGAAATCTGCATGGTTTCTCCCTCAGCAACTTGAAATTTTTGCTCACAGCGGCTTTCTCAGTAAGGCCTTCCTGTAGTACCTTATTTAAAATTGCACCTCGTTACCCTTCCCTATTTGACTTTATTTATTTTAGCACGTATCACCATCCGACATTTATTTAATTATTATTTTACTTTAAGTTCTAGGGTACATGTGCTCAACGTGCAGGTTTGTTACATAGGTATACGTGTGCCATGTTGGTGTGCTGCACTCATTAACTCATCATTTACATTAAGTATTTCTCCTAATGCTTTTCCTCCCCCTGTCCCCCACCCCACAACAGGCTCTGGGGTGTGATGTTCCCCACCCTGTGTCCAAGTGTTTTCAATGTTCAGTTCCCACCTATGAGTGAGAACATGCGGTATTTGGTGTTCTGTCTTGTGAGACGGGGTTTCACCATCTTGGCCAGGCTCGTCTTGAACTCCTGACCTCGTGATCCACCCACTTTGGCCTCCCAAAGTGCTAGGATGACAGGTGTGAGCCACCACGCCTGGTCCTGACATATTATACCGTTTAATTCTATATTAGTTTTTGTGTCTGTTTGCCTCCACTAAAGCAAAGCTCCATGCAGGCAGGGCTTCGTTTTATCCACTGACGCGACAAACTCCACGATAACAAGATTTCAAAAATGACAGGCAAGAGCACTTTTATCCAAGCAGCTCAAGTTGGCCCTGGTGGGATTTATCTTTTATCAATAAGAAATATTCCTCTTTATCCTTTCTATTACTTTTCTCCTTGTATTCTTTTTTTTTTTTTCCTGAAATTAGTTTTGCTATTTTTTTTTTTTCTATCAGCCTTTGTCTTATCTTTCTCCTTCTCCTAGTTCAACTGCCTTGTGACATTTTGTTTTTAAGAATGGGCCTGATAAATAAAATACAGTTGCTTTTGCCTTTTTAGCTAAACCCACAGTTCTTGATCTTGAATTAGTTACTTTAACCAGTTTATCTTTATTATGATCACCGTAATTTGGAGCTATTCCTCGTATGTTATTTTCTTTCTCCTCTTTTTAGTACTTCCTAATTTTTTTTCCTTTCTTGCTTTTTGTTGGTTTGACTGTTGTTGCTGCCTCCATTTTCTTTCTCAAGTTGTGCATTGTACTTCAACAGCTCTAGTTTAAATTCAGATATTTAAACATTTGTATTTTTCTCAACATCAAAAACTTTGTCTCTGTCTCTGTCTCGCTCTCTCTGTCTTCTCTCTAGTCAAGAATGTTAGGATGCTTTTACTTTGCCTCTCCTACACCTCTACAACTTTCACTGTGGAGATCAACTGGTATTTATTAACATTTATTTTCATTATCTCAAAGTTATACCTATTTCTTTGTCTATCACTGTTTCTTACATTCGTGTCTAATTCGTAGATTCCTTTTGGTAATCATCCTCTAATAACCTCTTAGAAAAAATTCAGGACTGGGGAACTTTCTGAAGTCTTTCCTTTCCCTTCACAGTTAAATGAGCCCAGGAGCTCAAGACCAGCCTGGGCAACATAGTTAGATTTTTGTCTCTATAAATAATTTTAAAAATCAGCTGGGCGTGGTGGTGCATGCCTATAGTTCCAACTATCGAAGAGGTTCAGGTGGGAGAATCACTTAAGCCCAGCAGGTTGAGGCTGCTCTACCCGGCCATTTGACTGGGTATAGCGCTCTATGCTAACAGTTCCTTCCTCTCAAAGCTGTGAAGATACTGCTTCATTGTCTCTTTGCATACAGGGTTGTTGAAAACATGTCCGTGCCGATCTGATTCTTATTTCTTTTTAGACATAACTTTTGTTTTTACTTTCCAGGTGATTGTAGGATTTTTTTTCTTTTTTTGTTTTTATGAAATTTGATATTAATGAGTCTAGGTATGGATTTTTTTCCATGTATTCTTATCTCTCAGTCAGCTATTTCAATCTGAAAACTCAAGTTCAAGGGTCATCACATGGACCATTTCTTTGGTAATTAAAAAAAAGTTCTTCCTTTTTTTAAAAGTAATCTCATTTTATTTATTTATGTATTATTTAATTTTTTAATTTTTAGTTTTGGAGACATAGTCTCATTCTGTTGCCCAGGCTGGAGTGCAGCGGCATGATCACAGCTCACTGCAGCCTTGACCTGCTGGACTTGAACAATCCTCCTGCCTCAAGGTCTCTCGAGTAGTTGAAATTACACATGCATGCTACCACACTTGGCTCATTTTTTCAATTTGTTATAGAGATGGGGTCTCAGACTGGTCTCAAACTCCTGGGTTCAGATGATCTTCCTGCCTCGGCCTCCCAAAGTGCTAGGATTCCAGGCATGAGCCACTGTGTCCAGCCAAAAAAAAAAAAAAAAAACACATATCTATTCTTTCTGGACCTCACAATCCTATCCTTCAAATATTACAACTTCCCATTCATAGTTCTCCTCTCTT